GTGGTGCTGGTGCCAGTGGCGGCGTGGGTGTTGCTTTTGCTGGCGATGAGAAAACTGATAACAGCGATGATGATGATGATGATGGTGGCGGTGATGATGGTCACGGTCATGGTCATGGTCATGGTCATGGTCATGGTCATGGTCATGGTCATGGTCATGGTGATGGTGATGGTGATGGTGATGGTGATGGTGATGGTGATGAGGGCGGTGATGGTTGTGGTGATGCTGGTGGTGGTGATAATGGTCATGATGATGCTGATGACGGAGATGGTGATGATGATAATGACGACGATGCTGTTGCTGAAGCTGCTGAAGACGAGGGTGAAGATACCAATAGCGACGTCGCTGTGATCATGATGGCGATTCCGAGTCATGATGGCCTTCATGAGAGCAGTGACTAGAAGAACAAGAAGAAGAAGGTGCGATGACAATTTGGCATCAAGTTATTGTCGGTGACATCGCGAGAACAGTGATGCTAATTATGACAAGCAGGAGGAACGGTTGCAGGAGGAAGACTGCGGTAGTGACTATCGGACTAGTCGGCATCGCGGTCGCCTGACTCCGCCCGCATGACGCAGGCTACTGCGCCGAAATTGCGCAAGAGGCCACGGGTTTGCTGGCCTCCGGAAGTGGTCCGAGAGTACTGAAGCTAGACAGATGAATGCCCGCACGGATTCACAGCAGAGTGTGTTTCCATGCGTCTCTCTCATGCGCATCCATCTGGGTTTGTTTCCCATACATATCCGCTCATACTTCTGTATGTGTTCTCGTCAGGCTTTCTTCTCGGTGTCTCCCTGTCTATATCCACCTGTGTATATACATACAAGCAGTAGCTTGAGTTTAGGCTTGGTGTATATTCAACGGCAGTTCGCTTCGCAGATCGCGCTTGCGGAAGGCAGCACTCCAAAGATGCAAACACGTGTGGGTCGATGGATCCCTTCACGATGCTGAGTGGTCGGGGGCTTTATAGCCTCTGGACACCCACGCTTGGGGCCAGCAACAGGAGGCCACGACACGGCTAGGCTAGTGCACTGAACCTAGAAGAATCACTGGGCTGGCATCCCATTTCTTGCCAAGGTACGCCTCCGAGTTTCGTCGAATCCGAAAGGAGCGATAGTTCTGCGATCTCCTCTGCTGCAGAGTGGTCTACAAGGTATTCAGACGTCGGGCATGTGAACCGCTGGCTTTGCCGCCGAACTATTCGATGGCAAATGCATACAAGCCAGGAGCATCCGCAGTACAGGATAGCAATCTACCATGTCGCAGGGGCCTTGGTGGCTGGGATCCATGTTGTGTTTTAGTACGCTCTCGAGAATTACGGTGGTTGAGTTGACTCGTTTGCACCTGCGTTTGTGAGCATGTTCCGCATGCCACCGCCTCCAGCATTTTCTCCTTCGCATTATAGTAGCAGATGTTCAGCTACCGGAATATTGCTGGCAACGCTGAGTTACAGTGCTTGAGGTGTCAAGTTAGCAACCGTGCCCGTCCCATTCAAGCTTTCAGGTCGCCAACTGGACTACGGTTCAAGCCCGCGTCGCCGCTCGTGCCACCCACACTGGCCGCGTGGTGCCTCAGGATCAGACCAAAGGGATCGAAATGCCATGCGACAATGATTTCCAAAAAGTGTATAGGGATGTGAGGTGCTTTCGAACACCCTACATTTGCTTATCTGGTAGCTTGATCTCGTACGATTGATTCGCTCGTTGCATGTGACCGTACCTGGGCCCGTCTTCGCGCACAGGATGCGCTTCAGAAGTCCTACCACGAGGTGCCGCAGGCCATCGGGCAGGAGCAGGTGAAAATCCGTCGAAGCCACTCTCACAAGTAAAAGATATTATGCTCAAGTCTGGCAAACTGTTTGCGGGAAATGCGTGAGTTTCAGCCGATACCACTAGTTAAGTCACTAGTTCTCTTCGGGTTTTGGCGTGTGACATGTCCTTTTCACCCGGGACTGTCGGGCAGAACATCTTCAGCACAACAAGTTAGTTTGCCATGGTACCAGCGATTCTTTAAGGTTCAGGGCCTTGGGGGCTCCGAGGTTTGCGATTTGGGATACATTGTAAGCTTCGAAGAGGGTGGTTGTCAAAATGATGGTCCCTTTTGGTGTCTTTATTATAATACGGCACCTATTATTTACGGTACCCCAAAAGGGACCATAATTTTGACAACTACCCAAGAGGTCGTCCATATGCCACACTCAAGGCGTAAAGCCTCGGGCCTCAAGCGAAGCCCACTGTGGTAAAGAGACAGCACCATCTCCCGGCATGTTGTGGCCGTCCCGAACAATGGTCGCGGTTCGGGTCGGTGCTCTAGTGCTGGCAGCATATAAAGTATTCTTGGAAGACTACAAGAATCATCGTAAGGCGAGATGCCAGAAGTCATGCAACTTTAGATACAATCGGAGTCTAAACCCTAAACCCTAAACCATTCCTATGGTTTCTGAGGCTCGCTGGCTGTATATACGGGCACGGGGGAACTGCATCTCAGTTGTGGAAGCCTGTGAGAAATAGGCGGTGCGGCAGCTGCGGCCGTCGCGTCCCCAGGGGTGCCGGTTTGCACTTTGTCTCAGTCTGCGCGCGAGCTTTCCAAGGAAGTCCAGCAGTCTAGGATGACTAGCAGAATTCACGGATTAAGAAGCTTCACGGCTAGTCCAGGATGAAGCTTCAGCTGCATCCAACCTGGTCTCTAAACCCCGAAACATGCACGCGAGAGGTGCTTAGCTTTCTCCTGTGAGTGTTTTTAGTACGTGCCATAACCACCTCAGGGGCTGAGTAGGTACCCTTTAACCTTTTGGGGCTTATAAGATCCTACTATAATTCGAAAGGTTAACCTTGTTTGGGCTAGGGTACTCAGCCCCTAAGCCAGGGTCAGCACCTGGCCAAACCTCTGCGGCGTAGGGAAATCAAAGACTTGGCAAAGTTCATCCACAAACTGTGAGAGACTTGGTTGGCGAGTCCTGACCAGACACAGCCAAGAAGTTCTGAACACGGTAAAACGTCATGGTGCCTCAAGCAAGCAGAGCCCAAGATATGTGGACTTCTACGCGCGCATCGAGAATCAGGAGGCGCTTCCCCGCCTTGTCACTCGGCTATGTCGGTTGGTTTCTCCCTAACTCTCTCGCCCAGATGTTTCCCTAACCCTCCAGGTACCTACTATATAGGGTTTTAGGGGCTCTAGTACCCTATATAGTAGGTACCTGGGGCCCATTGGGGGGTTAGGGTTTTGTTTCTTTGATTTGGTTGATCTCCTCTTCGCTCTACGCATGTATTGTGAGCAGAGACAGATGCACAGCTGTGTATGTACTGGTTTGTGTGTGTGTGTGTGTGTCGGTGGCTTAATGTTTTTGTTTTTTGCATGCAGTTATGGCCCTATGCAGTTGTTTATGCACTTATTCAGTTGCATACATGACATCTCAGATTTGGTTCTCTGTCGTACCCAAGCATACAGATGCGACACATCATGTTCTGTTTCGCTGTAGCATATGGCGCGACTGCCTTCCTTCATTGAACCAGGTCACATTTCCTGTGTGATGTCTCTTCACCTGAACTTCAACATGTGTTTTCGGTTCCGGGGCTTCAAGCTTTGGGCCCTTGAAAGCTGCACCATGGGTGGGCTGTATGCTACGGATCACTGAAAAAGAGTGCGAGGTAGAAGCGCGAGTTCTCCGCATTCCTCGTCTTGCGTTGCGGGAACCTCCGGGGGCAGCATGAAAGTTCTTGGGTTTGCCGGGATGAGATCCGGAATCTACACGCCTTGCCAATGCTGATTTGGTGTGTTTGGGGGCTTTCGGGTGTTGGTGGGCGAGCTCAGGCAGATCTCTGCGTGACGAACGCGCAAGGTGCGCCCGGCAGGGCAGGCATTTTTCGACAGCGCAAGAACCCTAAACCCTAAGCCCTAAACCCTGGATCGATTCGGAGGGCCGTCGTTGCCCCCAAGAGTTTCGGCTTGTGCTTTGAAGCTCATCCGATGCAATCACTGAGAGTCCGGCAAAGCTGCTCTCCTATGCCTGAAGGAGAGATCGAGAAGCCCTCATGTTCTTGGGAGCTGGCCTTAGCCTGTCCAGATCAACGGAGATCTCGCATCATCGGCTATATAATGTGGTTTCCGAGTTTGGATGGCTGAGGAAGTCATTCGCGCTGAATTCGCCCCCCTTCACGGCGCGAGCCAAGAAGGCGCGCTGCGGCTCGGAGCTTGGAGAGAGTCCGGGTCCAGCCGGACCAAGCACACTTGCGTTGCACGCACGGTCGTTTCATCGAGACTCGAAGACAAGGCAGCAAACATAGCGACAGCCTTCCGGAATAACACATCATTTCGATCATCTTGCTTTGGAATGTTCGGGGAGATATATAGGCTAGCTGGCAAATGCAATGGTTGGCGATTGCGGCGGGGGTTGCTTTTCTGCAACTGATTGCGTCCCCGTTGGGACTAGGTCGTGGCTGGAACGGCTCATCGCGGAGGACTCTGTGCGAGCGTGGTCAGATTGAAGGGCTGATACTCTTGAGTCCAGCTCCGCTTGGGCTCAAGATTGAGAACATCTGAAGGAAGCTGTACATGCAAGGGGTCCGAGCCGTTCTGTGTATGGAGGAACATTGGGTCTTGTGGCCTGTAGGTGTAGGGGTTGTTGGGGGCAATCCTAGACAAACGAAGAACAGCAGGAGCGACTCGCAGAACCGGTGAAAACATAGCTTCTCAGCCAGTTTACCCCAAGCATCACCAGGAGCATGCGGTTTTGCAATGAGTCCAGCCAGGAGTCTGTCCTCATCTTTGCGCACTCGCAGGGCAGTGGCAGCTGCCAGCTATTCCTAACAGAGGCCCCGGGAAGTTTCTATACCGAAGCGGCCTTTCCTGGAAACCCCTAAACCCTAAACCCTAAACCCTAAACCCTAAACCCTAACCCTGGAAAGCCCGAAACCCTGAAGCCCAAAACTCGGGCGCTCAAGCGCGGTCTGGCTCAAACACGGAGGCCTTGCTGGTTCCTTCCAGGGGCTTAAGACCGAGCCATGGAAGCTTCCGAGTGGATGAGTTTCTTCATCATACTTGGGACTATACACTGGGCAACGAGCAGCAAGGATCTGAGAGAGTTGCTGTCGATGGGAAGGAGTTATTGGCAGCAACGATCGGCTCTTAGCCTTCAGGAAAGACGCCTGGACGACGCGATGCGCCAACTGAGGGAGAGGAGCTTTGTTCGGGCATGCCGCTTCTTGCGGCATGGTAATTTTGCCTCGATGATCACTTGTCCTCTCGTGCAGGCTCACGATCGGCAATCGTGTGCTCTCTTCCTGTTCGCGTACGCCTTCTCCTATACGATGAACACCTTGATTGCCAGAGGAACTGTCGTCTTGTTGACGTCAGGCCTGCGCAAGCTCATGCTTTTCTACTACGCCCTGATGTTTGTGGCTATTTGGATGCCCGAAGCCGGGGTATCCCAGAGGGCCGTCTCGGTCTATCACTTCCTTGCCTGTGTTTGCTATGTCGACAGTTCGGTTCATATTCCATGTAGCCTTCTGATGCTGCTTGGTCGGATTTGCCATGGATTCATGCTTCATGGCAGCGAGTTTCAGGTCATCGAGTTTGCTTTCGATCATGGCGCATTCGTGATTCTCGTCATCATCTCCTCCGTTGTGCTGGAGCAGACCCTGAGGGACCGCTTGGCAGCACAGTTCAGGAACTCGGATGCCGAGTCCATGATCTCTGCTTTCCGCCAGATGCTTCGAGCTGTCTGTGACGGTGAAGTGCTGCTGGATGACAATCTTCGCATACAAGAAGGCGCTGGCTGCCTCAACCGGCTCTTGTCTAGCAGCGAATGCCTGGACAAGAAGATCTTTCCAGACCTTCTTCTTCAGGATTCAGAGGAGCTGGAACGCTTTCAGAAGTTCATCTCGCAGCCACTGGACCTTGATTCCTCGCCTGCGGGACTCCCTGCCCCATGCCTTCGCCTGTCTTTACAGTCCTCGAATTCACAAAGAGCTGGGGTCGACGTCTATCACGTGGCCTTGCAGCATCTATCTGGCTGCGACGGCTCCTACCACCTCCTTGGCTTGAAACTCGATGTCGAGTCGCAGGCCATTCCTGATGCCGCTCATGCATCGGCAGGAATGGCTTTGCTGTGCAACTCAGTTTTGAGAAGACCACCGGCCCGATCCCAAGCCTCCAGCCGCTCTGGTGGAACGCTACTGCAGACAGTTTCGAACTTGGAAGAGCTCATGATGCTGGTTCACGACAAGGACCAACAGCCTGTCAGCCAGATACATCTCAAGTACAGAGAGTCTTCGTCGTCCTCTACCCAAGGAGATTCCCAGATGCCGGATTTGCGAAGCTTGATTCGGCCAACCGACTGGGAAACGGTCCGCGCCTCCATCGCGAGACATGCGGCAGGCGATCACTGCAGCATGGAACTGCCGAGGATTTGGGTGAAGGCCTTCGACCGACAGTCTGGCTATGTCCAGGCTCGTCGTGTTTCCCTGAAGCCTTGCAAGGATACTGCCAGGCCAAGGCGGGGCTATTTGTGGTTGCATTTACGTGATCTGCGGTTCGAAGAAAAGCAGCGGCAGGCTCCCAGCGAGCTCGCTGACTTGGCTGAGATGTCATCTGGGAGCTCCGGGTAGCTTGTAAGACCTCAGGAATTAGCGTTATCTGTAGTCGCCATTGATTCCCGGCGTTTATGTTGTTTTGTTTAGCTGGCCCAGCAGCGATTGACAATTACGCACCCAAGGGCGCAATTTTAAGCTGCTCATGTGTTGAATCACAGGTGTTTGTTTGGTTTGTTCCAAACAAACCCTGTTCAAGGTTCGCGGCTGTTTTCGGGTCCAGATACCTGTTATACAGTATACAAAACTCACTTCACGAAAGCATACTTTCTCCACGCATACAATCCGCAGGCGCTGGACCCTGCACATCATGCTTACAAGACTCCCCAAGGAGTTATTGAAATGATCTAAATCCAGAACCATCGGATCGCTGGAGACGTGGAATTAAAGCGCACTTGTTGCGCTTCGGGATCCCGTCTTCGGGCGTGTTGGAGTTTCCGAAAGAAACGACTGGGACAATGTAGCCTCCAAGCTATGGGCAAAGGATACGACCCTCATCACAATGCAATGACATTGACCACTACGTCGAACACCTCAGTTTCGGAAACGCACATGTTTCACTTTCGAAATTAAGCCGGCCGATTCTTGCAGAGTGAGGCTGGCCACGTGAAAGCACCATCACCCGAACCGCCTGCATCTAAAGGCCGACAGTGCCCGAAGCTTGAGTCATTGCACCCATTGATAGCGGTCCGTAATCAGAACTTCTCTCTTCAGATGTGTGGGCATGCTTTGGACCCAACAAAGCCGGGTGCATCCTTGGTTCTGCCAGCATGGCATTCCTTCCGACCCTAGGCGAGGAGGAAAAAAAGCATCTCTGAGCCACTCGACCTGCCTCGACCTGCGACAACGGATACAGAATGGCCGAACATCCTTCATCCGGTGGCTGTCTGCTGGACTGACCTGGCATGTGGCACGTGCTGTTGCAGTCTTCCAACAGCTTTAATACTGTTGGTTGGACCATCAGCCAGCTAGTACGAGGCCTTTGCAACTGACGTTGTTTTGTTTTGTCCCTCTCAGCTGTCTCACCATTCTCTGACAATGCAGGTGCTTGGCATACCAGGAGTTCGAGTGCTAGTGCCCCGGCAGGTTGACAGAGCCGAGCAAGTCCGGTGCTATGTAAGGGTGTCGACTCGATGTTTGTACGGTCCAGCGCAGAAGGCACTCTAGGCGCAAGTTTCGATTACGGCTTCTTGGGCGCTCAGTCGCGGTTGTTTGTGCACTTTCGTGGTGGATGCCCTTGTGGTTTCGATCGGTACTGAGACAGAACCACGCGGGTGACTCTACTATCAGCTTGTGCCGCTGGTGTTGTATTTCCAAAGATTTTCAGGGGGGGGTTCAGCCCCAGCGTCATGGTGAGATGGGGACCCCAGGAGCTGGACCAGATGAGCTCGTGGCCTTTCGAGGACCCATACAGATGCAGCGCATGCACCGATGAACAACATGCCTTGGACTTAATGTCCTGAATAAAGTTATAGTATAATATACCCCAAAGCCCTATTCTAATTACTAAGGCCCCTATAATGAGTGCTCTGGAAGCTCATGGATTTCGCCTGCCATCGAGACTTCCCTTCCTTCGCCATGCAGACTTCTTGGGATCGCCTTCCGTAAAGGAAGCTCTTGGAGGAAGTACCTAGGGAAGAGCCACCTTGGTTTCCCCGCAGCCTTGCAAGAGGCTTGCAGCCGGCCAGAAAGACGAACCATGATTTAGGGTTTAGGGTGTAGGGTTTAAGGGTATAGGGTTTAGGGCTTAAGGCTTTAAGGGTTTAGGGTTTAGAACGATGAAGACAGGATGTCAACAGACCAGCACCACGCAGCGAAGCTCTCGCTCAGCTGTTCGAAACCCCGAGCCCTCGATAGCCTGACCTTCACTCAGAATATAGGGGCCTTAATAATTAGAAGGGTCGTAATCATATAATAAGGAACCCCCAAAATAGTCTTGGTACTTATTTTGGGCCCTACATTATCTAAACCCGTCTCCAGAGGCTTCAGGGTTCCAAAAGCCATGGGCCAGCCTTCCTCCCGGCCGAAGCCGCGTTTGGGGCCTGGGCCTCCTTCGTCAGCAGAGGAGCTGCTGGTAAACCCGCGTGTACAGGAAGCCATTCTGCAGGCCATCCAGGCGGGGAGTCGGGAAGGACCAGCTAGAGTTGACATCTGCAGGCCCCTAGCAGGATATGCAGGATCGGAACTTTTTCCGGTTTGTGGCAAGGACCACAAGTACCCCCGCGACATGAAGTGGGGTATGTCGACGCTGTTTCGGTTGGAGAAATGGGGTCTCCAGTGCAGGCAGAGCAAGCAGCTGCGAATTCACTTGAGCGTCCGAAGCGCCGGACGAGCACCAGCGATGCCAGCAAGCTCCGCCTAGAGATCGACGAGCACCTTGACTGGCAACAACGACTGTTTTTCCGGATACTACCGCTACTTTCGCCATTGCTGCTGTTGCTACCATTTGGACAGCATGGCGGCCATTTCTACCATCACTGATGCTAGCATTACTTCCACGACTACCATCGCCACCGCAACTTCTACAGTAGTAGCCACATAGTACCACTGCCGCTGGTACCAGTACTTCACAGCAGCAGAGTTAGCATCCTCAGGGTCCTCATCAGCATTGCCAGGACTGCGTCACTTTGACAACCAATGCATCCACCTTGGATGCCCCCCCATTTGGCAGATGCGGTAGTGAAATCTGATGTAGCATAAGATGAGGAATCGAACAGAAGACGTTGCTGGCAGCTTTTGTGGCCCTGCTTTCCGAGCCGAGGATCCTCGGCAGAAGCTGGCAAGTCTATGGCGCTTCAAACACCTGGGTCGACATGGGCTCGGAGGCGGGTGGTGTTCGTTTCGCAGCACTCGATGCCTGCTGAGGGCTGGGAGGTTGCGGGTGTTGTGAGGGGTGAGTCCAGGGCACGAACCCCGGCATTGCGCCCAAAGCCTTTGTGCCAGTCCCTGAACAGAGGCAGCACAACTTCTTTAAACGCGCCAGGAACCAGGAGTGTAAAGCCCTGCTAAAAATGACCCAGAAATTGCATCAAGTTCGTCAATGCGAAACCATCTTGGGAATGGTTTCCCTAAACCCTAAACCCTAAAGCCTAAACCCATGGTTCCGGAGGCTCGAGAAGCCATTCAGGAGGCTGTTCTCCTGGGTCGCACCTCGTGCCGCCTCTCGGCTGTGGGGAAAGATGCAGTTGCCTCGGAGGGCCCACCAAAAATGGGAGTTTCCGAGAATTAGGGGTGCCTTATTTTGGGGTCCTTATAATAAGGATCCTATTATTTAGGGTACTATATTAGGGTCCCCTATTTTCGGAAACCCCCGTATATCAAACATAGGTGCCCAGGAAACTGAGGTGCAACTCGCAGCACTCCATTTCAGAGCGGCATGTCCCTGAGTTCTAGGATAAAGCCTCGAAGGACGGAGCGTTTCTTTTTCAAGCTCCGCACAAACAAAAACGACCTCACTGCAGCCCAGGCCTCCAAGATCTCTGAAGTAGGGAACGCTCCTTGAACTCGTCCTCAGGCTCTGGAAACCCTCTAAACCCCATAAAAGCCCAACCCATTAAAAAGCCCTCAGCATCTTAAAATATAGTAGAATATAGTATAATATAGCATAATATAATATAATATAATATAGTAGAATATAGTATAATATAATATAATATAATATAATATAGTATAATACCTCAGCATCTCCTTCGGCCTGAAGCTCCGCAGAGGTTATCGGTGGGCTGGAACAGAGTACGAAATTGCTCTGGACACTCGCAAGCAGCTCCCAAGCTGAACTGGTGTGTCCCTGTCAAGAGAGCGAGAGAGAGAGAGAGAGAGAGAGAGAGAGAGAGAGAGAGAGACAGAGACTAGCGCAATCCCCTCTCCCTCAACCCTTGAGAGAGAGAGAGAGAGAGAGAGACTAGACGGAAGTGTTTGAATGCATGCCTCACTCTCTTCCCTTTCAATCAGTCGGCCGAAATGTCGGTTCATGTAGGCATGTCACTCAGATGCGAAGCTGAGAGAACGCTGGGTTGTGTTGTCTTGCAGGTTCGTTTAGACACCCAATATTTGGCTGTACCTGTAGTGGCATGCCCAAAAAGGAACTACGATGGAGACTATAGGTAGGGTTTTTTGGCAAGACCCTGAGACGAAGCGGTCTGAGGACCAATCTGCAGACCGGCACGCAGAGGGACATTCGTCTGGCTCCTGCAGATGCCGGGCAATCCCTGGCGCGTGGGTCAGATCAACAGGAAAACTGCTGTGCCTCTGCCGTAAGCTGCGATTTACTCAACAAACTTAATAGCATGACAGCATGACCATGATGATAATTGCCCCTGTCCTACTGCTAGTGCTGCTGCTAGTGCTGCCCTACTCTCGTGCAGGAGGCATCGCTGGGTCGTCGTCCGAGCCTCCGGCGCACGACCAGCGGACAAGCGCCCTCCAGCAAGACCATGGCCGAGCTGCGTTCCCTCGAGCTTTGCTGCAAGCTGGATGGCCGGAAGTTCGAGGAGTTTAGGGTTTAGGGTTTAGGGTCTCCCTCGTATGGAAGCCATGTAGGACTTAGGAATGCAGCGGCGTTTCAAACAGATGGAACGGCAAATAAGACCAAGAGGCAAAGTATAGGCAAGAGTGCTTAATCCCTGGAACAGGGAAACAGAAAGATCGACATAATCATAGGCTGATCTAGTGAAAGGGTTATTGTTGCAAACATGTCCATCGCATGATCCACTGCATTTTCAGCGGAGCAGCCATGAGTCAGGACCCAGACTTCCCACCGGTTGTGGGTAGCCGGGTGACCGGTTGGAGACGGCCGCAGGCAAGGTTTCCCAGAAACATTATGATAGAATAGAATAGAATCCACTAGAACAGAATATCACATGTAGTATACTGCAGTAGAACATTATTTCGGCCTTAATATTATGATTTAAGGTATATTCCTTAATTAAGGGGTATTGGGTTCTCTGGGGATGGCAGCCGTAGCTTTCCTTTAGCTTAGTTTCTGATGCTTGCCAGAAGTTATCAACTAAAGACATCCCTTAGCCTCCAGCCCTATAGTAGGGGCCTTTATAATTCGAATAGGGTTNNCTTTATAGTATAGTTATAACAAGGAAACCCCCAGCAGCCTTCTGTTGTTAACTTCCATCACAAGACTGCCAGGAGCTTACGCACCACGATGGTCGACCCCTTGCGGCCAATGAGGACGGGTCGGGGGGGGGGGGGGGGGGCNNGTTTGGGGTTTAGGGTTTAGGGGGGCGGCACTTCAGCACTTGACTCGGCAGACTTCTCACAGAAAGATGGGCAACGAGGCTGCGCGCTTCAGTGACGGGCCATGCGAGTCGAGCAAAGCATCATGCACAAACCCCGAATTCGACCCCCAAAAAGTGCCCCTCAAAGTCCCCCAGCCCCCGAAAGCCCTAAACCCTAAA